GAAACCTACTCGAAACACACACACACACACACACACACAAACACACACTTGTCCCGGAGCCCCACCCCTGGTGCGCTGGTTGTTTTTGTTCCTCAGCCTCATCCCTCTCTCCACACTCCTGTTATCAAGGTGAGGTGTGCTAACAAGACAGACCGCCCGCCTGACGTCTCTGGCGCCCCGCCAACCTGCTTGGTGAAACAAACAAAAACGCACACACTGAACGGGGCTCGGTTCTTTAGCTCGGAGGCTTTTTGCATCCCTTTATCCGTGCTGCTGCTTGCAATGACAGTACATCTGGAAACTGGGCATGAGGCGAGCTCTCATTACTGCCCACCACAGGCCGTGCCAGCGCAAAGGGCTCCTCGTGTGTCCTCAGGAAACCACAGTGACTGCTTATTTTTATCTTGCTACAGGAACCTTTTTCCTGCCAATTAGCTCCCAACAATGACCCCGCTTGTTTATGTACTGTCTATTGAGTGACATCCCCCATCATAATTAGGCCGGGCTTGTGTCTTCCTCAGCTAGATGCCGAGTGAATGGATTTTCACACGTGGGGAGAGACAGCTGCCCGCTGTGTGCAGGCCTTACAGGGTGTATCTTTTAATTGGGTCCAAATGGTGGTGGATAAGTATGAATATTTTTTGGGAAATGTAGAGTTGGGGGGGAACAATAGCCAGCACGAGACAGAGAGAGGACAAGTTCAGCAGGTTCATGTGCTGTGCTCGGAGGATTTTTAAATCCCTCCCCTTGACCACAGGATACTGCTAGTGTTTGTGAGTCAGAGATTTGAGCTCTGTGCATGTGTGTGTGTCACAGCTGTGAGGCCGGGAGTGACTGCTGCTCAACAAAGCCCTGCGCTCTGCTGGGTTGCTCTTGGTAAACAAAGGGAACTCACAGTGCTGTGTAGTGATTGCCCAACCTCTCCTGACAGAGAAAGTAAAGAAAAGAGCCGGGCGAGCGCAGCGGCTTAAAGGAGAAGTGAAGAACGGAGAGTTTTAAAAGTGAGAAAACAACTTAGTTGCAAACCAGGGCTGTTTCTCAGATTATCAGCTACAAAGTGTTAACAGATCAATTTCTGCATGCTCTCCTGCCAGCTGGGATAGGGTGGCGTAGAGCAGGCTGGAGGAGGGAGGGGAGGGGGGGGGGGGGGGTCTTTGCCAGAGGAGGTCAGCTGTGTTCAGTCACAGCAGAGAGAGAGGGGGGGGAGAGGGGGTTGCCAGAGCATGCCCAGCTGAACCCCGAACCCCCCCGCACAGCGACATGCAACACTGTTGGCTTAGCCGCTTATTCCCATGACAACTACCCGTCTGAGCACCAGATGTGTGCAGAGGGGAGAAGAAGAATGGAAAGTGTTCAAATATAACCGAGGCGGTGGCTTTCCTTCGCCCTGACTGACACAAGTAGTGGTTAAGTTTGGTGTCAAATGACTTCTACTCATGTATAGACCATCTGCCAAATGCCCTATTAAGAGTGGTCACTTGACATGAAGATGAAGTAATAGCAGCTAATTCATAGTAGAGTTGTCTGCCTTCAGTATTTATGTGCTGTCAGTATTGAAGGAGCATGGATGGTGGGGGGGGGGGGGGGGGGGGGGCTCAAACATGGCAGATACCATCTTCATTGTTCAATTTAGTAATAGTCGTCGCTACATTCACCTGTTTTCTGGATAGACCAGATTATTATCTCAGGATACTGAGAACAAGTGTTCTTTTTCTTTAAATATTCCTAACAATTCCAAGAAAATCTTTGATCTACTTGAGAGTTCACTTTCCTGGAAGCAAACCTGTCCTGTCAGGTATTATCCAGTTTCATTTGGTTTGACACAATGGGGGATATGTGAGTCTTACAGAAATATGGATGTTATTAAACAAATAGCAATGTTGGAGGGTCGGACTGAATAGAAGCGGCAAGTGAGAGCTTCTCGCAGGATTTTGAGGTTTGGTCTTAATTCATAAAAACACATCAGATAAGTTCATATATTTTTCTTCCAGACCTTGTAGCTGAAACAAAAGTGCAAATACTATAACCATGAAACCAACAGACTGGAGTACACAGCCATGCTCTGTGAGCTGTGAGAACCAAACCAGCAGGGCTGTACTTGGTCACTGCTTTGAGCTAAATGCTAACATGAGCATGCTCACAGTGTCATAATGAAGATAAGTCAAATGAATGTTCACCTAGTCCACCCTCTTAGGTTAGCATGTAAGCATGCACATCTCTGAGAACTAACTGAACACAAAGTAGCATAGATCTCAGGATGATGGGAATGTTATTAGCTTCTTTTGGTGAAAACCTTAAGTATTTGACAAATTACATTTGACCGCGAGCAGAAGACTGTCAACATTATCATAATTCTATCTGAGGGGGATATACATGTCTCTGCTAAATGTTAATGCAATCCATCCAACTGCTGTGGTGATATTTCACTAGAGCAAAACTATAAACGTGTTTGTGATGGTAGAAAGGAAAGTCAACTTGTCTTTCTTATTTTAGACAACATTAATATGCATCCCACCTGTTATATAAGACTCAGGAACAAGCTTCCTTACTGATGTAATTTTCTTTACAGCCTTTTCTAAAATAAGTCACTACCTCCTTTATGTAATTTTAGACTCATTCAAATTAACTAGACTCCCTTTTCTCAAATCCTGCCTACATTAAACCGGACAAAGGGTGCGCTCACAGGTGATAATGCAGTAATTGCCTGTGTGTGCTGGACTGAGAAGCTGCATGAAGTGGTCTCAGGGCCGGGGGGGGGGGGGGGGGTCTGCGGCTGTTGCCTTGAAGCAGGTGCTGAGGAGCCTGTCAACGCTAATACAACTTTATTCTCTCTCACGCAGCTACTTTATTCACTTGGTGACACGACACACCACTTTAGCTCAGAACAAGAGGGACAAATTGAAGCTGTGGTTGAATGCATCGCACTCTGTGACTTTACTTCAAGCAGAAACTCCTCTTCAGCCTGCTCAGGGAGCCGGGCGGGGTAGGAGTTAACGGCGTAGGCTGCACTGTTTTCATTGGCTTTGCAGACATAAACAAGAGCCGTACTTGTGCGCGACCCCTGGGCCTGACCCCAGAGATAGACGCTCCTCTAATGGGTGTCTCTTTCAGCAGGCGGCCAGGCCAGGGGAACAGAGGAGCCATTGTTTGGCCCAGGGAGAGCCGATGCTCTCCCCATTAAAGTGCTGAGCATAGAGGAGGCCGAGGTAAACAGCAGAGGAGACAGGAGACATCCTTGGCACACAGGCTTTAAATTAGGATAATATCACAAAAAAGTAATCCCCTCTGCAGAGCTGACTCCCAAGTCTCTGTAATCACATGATCTTTATATGTTATGACAGTTGTATAAATAGCAGTGTTAATTAGCTCCTAATAAGCCTAGAAATTCTAACATTTAAAACACAAAATAACACCAGCTAAGGATGTGAGCGCAGAATAGTTTTGTCTTGATCCCATAGGAGACTTAAGTTATGTTGTTATTTTGTTTTAAACCACATCCTCCAACACACTCGTTCATAGTGTTTCATAGTGTGCATGTGTTTGCGTCCGGGGGCCGCAGACAAGGTTATCATTTTGCTGAAAGTGGCAGAACAGGTGAGTCAGGTGCCTGCAAAGTGTGAAACCTTACCTGGCGTGGATGATAATAGACGTGCCACGCGTCAGCCCCGAGGGGAGTGGCTGTAAGACGTCTGGTCTAGTGAATAAAAGAGCAACAATTTGGCATTGTTAGTAAGCATGGTGTAACATTTCTATTGGACAGATATTAAAAAATGCATCATGCTAAATTATTTGACTGTTGGTTTTTTTAACAGTGAGAAGACTGCACTTTTGCTCTCCACACAAGCCAGCAATAAGCACTAAACTTTCATGTTTATGCGTGTCAAGAGTAATCAATCACTGCACTGCCTCGAGGGCATCCATGCTGCAGTGTAACTAATCTGCAGGCTCAGCAGCATTGGGCCTTAACCTTTGAGGAGCACAGTAGTGCAGCATGAGGTAAGTCCACTCATTTGCTCTATAGGGCTCCTTCAGTTGTCATGCAACACTTGCTTCTGTATGTGTGCAGACTATAGAGAGGATTGGAAGCCCCGGTGCTCGCACTAAATTAATGACCTAACAGCAGGGGGGATGTGATGGCCACAGTCCCTGTCAAACGCCTGGCCAGCTTTAAATGCCTGGCCAGCCTCAGACACATGTCTAATCCATCAGTGGCTTACTTTCACAACACATCTCTTCAAAACAAAGGCTAAATCGCTTAACAGCAATTCATTTTCTTCTGCAGTTCTTTTGTGTCCAATGGTTGGAGCATACAATCAATATGTGAAATAAACTAACTATAAACCTATACGAAGTTTATATATCTCGTTTATTTTTGAAGGAACTGTATTTGTGTTTCTTGTTTTGCTTATTTGCGTTACCATTGCGTTATTAGTGGTATGAAACAGGGACATTTCTTTCTTTACCTCTTGCTTGATCCGGTCTGTTTGTCATTGCGTCTCGTGAAGTGCTTTTTGTACTCAAATACAATTAAATCTCACAACATCTCTCTACAACGCGTATTCACGTTTTCACCATGCGTTCTCGCAGTTATCTTCCGGCAACACATGATCTCTCGCGAGATTTCAGATACTTCTCATAGAGCGAGACTTGGTTAGGCATAATAACAGGAAAAACGGTTAAAGCAAAAAGTTAAACAAATCAAGTGTTTTTATTTATTTGTATTAATAAAATAACACTTTAAGTAGTGTCATTTTCTTAATATTGCCAGTTGGTAAACATAAGCTAAGCCTCTCTGTTGAACTGCTAGATAGATTTACATTGCATCATGTTATGCAAAAGCAGCGTTCTTGCTCAATACTGGACATATGTCAATAATTGCTGTCCCCCTTTCGTCAAGAAATCATGGGGGACAAAGGAAAATACATGTGTTTATTGTCTTATGAAGAGCATAGCTTCAAGGGAGTGTGTTTCTGCAACAAAAAAAACTTGATTCAACGTCACACCTTCAATACAATTTTATTGAAAAAAAGTACCAATAAACAACAAGAAATCCAGAAAAAGATTTGTAGAGCAAAGCTCCATATGTACAGCATATTGCACTACATAACAAATTGTCCTTACTTCCATATATCAACAAACCAAAAAATATATATAAACACAAAAATGAGTGCACAGTAGAGTCTCGAAAACACACAGTCAATGTTTACAAAAATGCTACATTTTCGCTGGGTCTCATTTTCTTGGTATACAGAGAATGTGTGATAATCAAGACTTTGTTGAAACTGAGCAGTTAAAGGCATATTCCAGGGTTTTTAGAAATACATGTACACTTTATCTGTTTTTCAAAGAAGGGCAAACATTTCAAAGCTCATGAGCCAAGTAAACCACAACCATGAATTATGTTGGTTTTGTTTATACACCATGATGAGATGTGCAAGGAATGTTGCAAGTTCATTTTTATATAAAAAAATGCCCTTGATCTCATGGACTTCAAAAAGGATACTACCATGTCCTTGTTTAAAAAATCATTTCACAAGCGATGAATTGTCCTTGTAAAAGCATACCCTTTTTCTTAAGAAAATACATTTTAAAAAGTTAAGAAAGACCATGAAAAAGAAATGTTATTGTTAAAAAAATGTAAAATCAAAACCTTCCTCAAAAACTTCAACTTTATATAAAGTGGACTACAAAATTCAAGACACTGACGGTTTCCATAAAATACATGTCCCACTCTAGGGATTCTCCACACTCACGTATAATGTGATGAGTGCAGCTTGGGAACCTCATCTAACAAAAACATACAGGGCACCACGGTGGCTTGTTTCCCTTTCCAATAAATCAAACAGACCTTCAATCGGAGCCTACTTCGTCAATGCACAGATATATACGTCTGACACATGGCAAGATAAGCCCAACGGAACAATCCAGAGTATATTCTATACATTAACACACTACAGATAAGGGACCCATGGGATCTACAGAAACAAAGTACTTTCCAGTGCATGTTGATTACAACACAATAATCAAGAGTTGAACACATAAACAAACGCCCTGTGGCTTAATATGAAGGCAACCTTTTTCTGGGTGTTGGAAGCATTTATAATGTCATGTGTGTCATGAGCATCAGGTGGATGGGTATTAACTCTTTAATTACAAAGTAACGGTCATATTCTGTTGAAAACGCAAATTGCTGCTTTTCTGAACCACATTTGATGTATCTACGTATTAAGACTGGTAAATCAGGTAGTGGAAGGTAATAAAACAGGTCTGAATTGGTACGGCCCTTCCCTGGAAAATCCCAACCTTTTGCGTAAAATACTCTACCCAAAAATCTTTTTTTAAGAGTATCAAACACCTGTCCTATAGGCTTGAAAGGTGATGTTTTCTTCTTCATAAAGATCAGCAGCTGATGTCATGAGGAATTAAAGTAGGTTAGAATGTATTCCAATGATGGCAACAGTTACACTCTGGATATATGGATGAGAAATGGTCCTATTCAAAGCTGTGAAGCTCTGACAGAAGAGGTGCATTATGGTAGGTATAACAGTGATGTGCGAACATGCCATTATTGAAATCCATTGTAACCAACTTAAGTTCTGACTGACCAAGGCTATTGTTCTTCATAAAACGATAAACTTCAAACTTCTTAGAGCCTACTATGGTGAGCAATACTAAAAAAAATAAAAATAAGGTTGAGTGTCACATGCAACCTCAGGTACAATGCAGGCCAATCTGCTCTGCACAGTCAAACAACTGAGGCGTATACAAGTCCAAGACTGAAACAAAAACAAAAAAAGAATTGCACACACAGGTGTATACAGTAGAAATGGGCAAATATACAAAATAAATAAAATGGAAAACCAAATAAATTACAAATAAAAATGAACTGATGAATATTAGCCAAGTAATGAAGGAGCAGCACAAAGAGGAAGTCAGGAGCCCGTGGTGGGGCGGGGCGCTGCAGGACTGGCTCAGCGTTCAGGATCCGCAGGAAACTATAACCACAACCACACTCAGTGCACCTCACGCGCTACTACTACATGCTCAGCAGCCCCCGAGACCACCACAGACAGCAAGTCTGCCTCACACTCCTCAGTCAAACTGTACCTCAATATGTGTGTGCCGAGAAATTGGCCAATTTTACAACTGAAACGAAAATTAAAGGACTTGACGATACCTTGAGGGGTTTTATGGTAAACAAATGGATGAAGAAACTGCTCTTTTTCTAACCATGTGACAGATTCTCAAGGTCCCTGGTAGCCCACAAATTCTGTCCCTGAGAATGAGAGGAAACCCTAATTATGCAGTGATACACTTGACACATTTTAAGGAGCAAGTAATTACAGACCCCTGATATGTACTGCTCCTTGGGTCCAAAAGTTGGCCTGGGTTCAGCAATGTAGAATATAACAAACAGCATATTTAACAGTGTCTTTAAACATATTCATATTTCAACAATAATTACAGTCTTTTTCACGTGTGTGTTTGTGTCTGATGAGTGGCTAAACATGTCTGGATCTGAGCACCAAAGACAAAACAAGAGCACCCAATATCACAGAGTATAAAATGATGTAAAACCTCATAAAAAGTAGCCTGAGACGATCTGTTTCACAGATTGATTATGCAGTATGGTTTGGTCTTCAGAACACACACAGGCTGTGAAAAACAAACCAGGACAGAAACATTTCAATGGAATTGCGAGGCTCTAAGGTAACTCTACTGTAGTCTGAAACACTTCTGCGTGAAATATCCAAAATCCAATCCAGATCCCAGACTGTGTTCAGCCCGGTCTCAACATTGATTATTAGTCTTGGACATAAAGAGTGAATACATCTGAAATGTTGTGGCAAGAAAAAACAGTCATAACTGAAAACCTTCGTACAGGACAGAGGTTACCGTGGTAACAACTGTACTCTTGAAGGGTGTACGTTGTCTAGTGCAAAAACAGTGGATCCAGAGCTCCACTTCAAGGGCATGGAGGTCTGAAAACAATCACATGAACAGAACACACAGAAAACACAGGGAGAACTCCAACTGAGGGAACAACTGAGGGAAGAGTGCTTGATGACATTTAAATGAAAAGAACTATGGTAGACTTGGCCAAATGTCTCTATATACTTAAGGTAAAAAACACTTTGCTGGTATGAAAGTAAAACAACTTAACTCTAATGTTATAATTTAGTGCACAAGGGCTACTCCTCTTTGCAAAAGTCAGCACACATTAGACGAAATATCTTTTCATGGAGTTTCATGGTTATTTGTAATATGCTCCCTCAGCATACATACAAATGATGAATTACAGCTAACTGCTTTTTTAGAATTTGTTTCCAGTGTCAATAATCCTAATTACTAATATCAATATTAACTGTTGAGTGCTGGTGTGTCACCAGGCTTGTTTAGGCAGTCACTGATGTTCAAACTCCACCCTGATGATCAAGAAAAGATATTTAGATTACAAGGTGTGCAAACTTTTCATGAGCAGAAAAGTTGTTCCCGATACTTTAAATGAAATTGAGGGTGAAACGTAGTAATTACATACTGCAGCAAATGGAGTGAGAAACCAAAAAATCAACAGAAAGAAATAAAGAAAGATAAATGTTCCATTGAGGTGAGGTGCAAAATGCTTTGTTCTGAGAAGTTGCCTCTTTGGAAATTAGTTAAATCAACGTGTCTGGTCACCTGGGAAATGTCAGCAGATTCAACCCCCTTCATTCCCTAACCATCTCATCCCACCTCATCTCTACATGTATCAATACTCATTCTGGCAGAAGACATTGAATAAGGCATTCCCAGGGTCGGTGGAGGTCATTTAAGATGGATACATGTTGAAGTGCAAACAATTTAAGAAGAACAATGTACTATACAAAACCACTACACCACACGTATACCAAAATATGAACATTGTCCTGTAGAGGAAATCTCGGAGCGTCATGGCATCTTCTTGGAAAGAAAAAAACCTTGTATAAAAGTTGGTTGTCTCCGTCCCGCGGTGACCCTTTGTCTCCTTTCTTTTCCCCCCGCCAAAAACAGACCCGTGTTAGATTTGACAGTGCCATTAGGAGTCCAGTTACTCTGAGAGATGGGGAGACCCCCTCACCTCCGTGCTGCTCCCCCTCCTCCAGCAACGAGCCCCCTGTCGAACAGAAGGCTGAGCAGAGCTGCGGCCAGGCGCCACCACCTCCGCCCCTGGTTCCTTTGGTTTCGATGATACTGAAGCGACAAATGGAGACGAAACAAAGTTAGTGCCCTGGATTGGAACTCAAAAACAAAACAGTCACGCGTTTTCAGAGCGAGTTTTACTGTGTGTGCTGATTGACAGTGAACACAGCGAAAAGGGTCAACTGAGAAGAGGTTAAGTCAAAACTAGACACCGGAACGACGCTGATATTTTCACAACAGTCTGCTCCTGTCCCCAACAATACTTCTGAGAGAGGCCTCCCTCCTGAAACAATCCGAGCTTCCCAACAGACATTCCAAACCATGAACACATTCATCATTTGTTCTAATCTTCCTGGCGGAGACCTGGCCGCGCAGGAGGAGACTCTCTTTGCGAGCCAATTGGATTGTGAGCGATTAGGGGGATAATGTTATCTCTGTCATTGAGAAGTTGAGATAAGATAATTGCACTGAATAGGATTAGGGGGCCCTTGATGAGAGGCAGGGGGCTCTCTGGAAAACACGTATCTGCACGAGTGAGGTACAGTAGCTCATCTGTGGACAAAAGGCAGACTCCACCACGCCTGATAATGCTGCTGCTTTCACTGCTTTTTCATTATGATGGGAAAACGTTTATTCCCTTTTCAAAAAGAGAAAGGTACACGGCACTCTTATGGCAAATAGTCAACCACTTGTGGATTTTAAAAACATAGACACTGTTCATACATGTTAAAATAGAGTTAACAACAAAGTAACCCACCAACAGTCTTCTTCAGGGTGTAACCTTCAGCATACAACTTCTACTCAGCCCTATATAAACATGAATAAACAGTGCTTATGTTTTAAGATTTCACATTGATATAGCTGTTTGAATAATGGGGAAAAAAGGAGACATTTTGCCAGGAGAGTGCATATGGCCTTTTTCCTCTTTAAAACGGTGTGTTCTTCAAAAAAGAGCACCTTTGCTATAATCATCTGAACTTTTTTGGTATTGTTTACGAATGCCAACAATATTAGATGTGCCGTATTGATATGCCGGTTAAGGTGGTGTCCAAACATTGACCTAGTTAGCAGCTAAGAAGCGCCACTGTGATAGGCCCCTGGGTTTCCTGTGGTGAGCATTGCAGGGTGTTGCATAAGCTTCGCCAGGTTCCAACCAGCATGTTACTACTCACTTATTCTTACTTGCTTTTTGATCTAAAGGAAAATTAAGGGGTAGAAGAGAAAACAAAACATGGCAAGGGTTGCTATGAGTAGTGATAAAACCAGTTCTCTGTTGTGTGACATATTGAGTGCTTGCCTGGGGATATTTTGAGAAAGACCTGATAATGTGTGCTTCATATAAATATAGACAATATGTATTATGTGCGGCACAGAGTTGGCAGTCAGAATGGCTGAACTTGGAAGTATTTTGCATTCTACCTAAATAACATGAGACTAAAACTCTTGGGATCCAAAAAAAGAAAGGCAGAATGACAGCACATCTGAAATATGATTTATACTTTTAATATAAAGCAAAGGTTTGCAGGAGATATAGGGTGGATTGTCACGGTGCAAAGCTTGTGTGTATCCAACAAGCTACATGACAAGCAACTCCTCTTTACAAACAGAACAGAACGTCTTGTGACCTTTTGCCCTCCACTCTATCAGGCTGAGAGAGACAAAGGAGAGAGAGAGAGGAACAGAAAGAAGGAGAGCGAGAGAGAAAGAGAAAAATAGGTGTGCACAGGGCCTGTCACAACTTTAGTCATGAGTCACGCCACCAACTGTCAAAAGGAGAAACGGGCTCTAAATTTAGCCAGCGATAGGGGCAGAGTGTAGCCAGATGCTCGGTGTCGTCACGCCGACAGCAGCCTGATGTTCCTTATCTGTGTCCCATGCGGCTGTCTGTCCAGCCAGCTGCTCAGAAGCTCTGCCTTATCTCTTGAGCAAACAGGCCAGGCTCAGTAGCAAGACACTCTGGATTTGTCACATCAGGGAGGAGACAGGGAGGCAAGGAAAAACACCAACAAAGAGCAGCGGTATTGGATGATAAATGGACATCGCTGTGAACAAACATCAGCGTGCAATAATGACTGGAAAGTAAATATCCAAAGCTGGCTTCATGTGTTTTCATTTCCAGTGCAACTCCACTCCCCCCCTGTACAAGTGCTGAAAGGAGAGAGTGCCGTGCCCTCATTGGAACAGTAAAGAGATAAAGCTGCAAACACTGCGTGCAGACACACACACACACACACTCACACACACACACACACACACACACACACACACACACACACACACACACACACACACACACACACACACACACACACACCACACACACACACACACACACACACACACACACACACACACACACACACACACACACACACACACACACACACACACACACACACACACACACACACACACACACACACACACACACACACAACACACACACACACACACACACACACACACACACACACACACACACACACACACACACACACACGGGCGATATTCAACCCTTCTTTCAACACCTCCTAGTCGTCTCTCTTAAAAAAACATGGGGATGAAACCCAACTCTGCTCCTTGCCCTGTGCAGGCTGGAGCCGCCTTCCTGCCATTGTGACACTCATTATTGCCTTGTCTCAAATGGCGGGGCCGGCTAATGTCAGCCATCCTCTGGGGACCCCCGCGTCCCCTCAAGCCCTCTCTGACAGAGGAGCAATTTATCTGTCAGCATCCACCAGCACTCCGTCGCTACCTAATCCCTCCTTTGGCCAGGGGCCTCGGGCTCCCATGGAGAACGCTCCCAGCCACGCTGCTCTCAGATCCATCACGATGATGGCAGTCAGAGGCACTTGGATGGCTCTGGGACAAGTGTCTGCACTGAAAACACTGCAATCACCTACTGACAGGAGCACTGAGACCTGACACACAGTTACTCTGTTATTGAGTGAGGGGTTTTCTTACTGACTGTGTGATGGGAAGATCTGAGACAGTAAAATGCAGAAAAACAAGTATGGGTGTATTCGTGCAAGAGCATTTACAGGAGCCAATTAAATTAATTTCACAACAGAAATGTCAATTAAAGAGACTGATATGGAATCACACATCCCTTTCACTGTCAGTGTCTATATATTTGACTTTTTAGATCTGTTTTAGATCTATTTTGAGATGTTATATTCTATGTTTGGTTTTTTTTTCTACTCTTTTTCATTTTCACACTATGTGCAAGGCCTTGTTTTAACATGCTGCTGTGACGAAAACATTTCCGAAATTAAGATCAACAAAGTCAATCTTATCTTATCCAAGACCGCACACCAGCGTCTGGGGTTTTAAATCATCATCATCCCTCAGCATAAAACAGCCACAGACCCACACAGAGACTTACTTAAAGTGTCAACACACTGCTCTCTATGCAAGTTAGCAATTCTCACAAAAATATTACTCTCTTAATCACACTATATTGGCATTTGTGTCACACGCTGCTTCAGGAAATGATTTCACGGGGCCGCTCTCACTCTGACTGTCCTCTCCGCCGTTTACTCAACAAGCAAAAGGAGTTGCTACCACTTCCTCATCCCCTGACCCGGGCCCGTCGCCGCTGTGCGTCAGTAGGTACCGACCACACACGCAACCCGGGTGTCTGACTGTCTGGATGTCTGTGTGCATTTGCCAGTGTCACAATACATGAGTCATGCTGAGCTCCAGGGGTGTATAAATAACTTGATAAGCGCATGAGAAAATCTGAAACTGTCTCGCACAAATATATCGAGTGCCGGGTGGGGAGGTTTCAAGACAACTGAAGATTGTTGCTTCTTCATTTCTTCATATACATGCATCAATATGGAACCCCCCCGCCCCCCCTCTCTCTATAGCTGAGAGGACCTCTCTCGTCCCCCCGGGGGCTCACGCGCAGAGCTTCGGGTTTCAACATGTTTACCTTCTCGCGCCACTTCTGCTTTCTCCTGAACGTAGTGTGGATGAATGTGCACGTGTAAATAAATGCGTGCCAGACTCTGTGCACTTGTGCAACAGGAGACTCAGCAGAAACTCTCCTGAAGGTTTGTTTATATTGTTGATGTTACAGCCAATGATACAACAGTGTGTCACGGTTGTACAACACTCCCACATTTGTGCAGCAGACTCGGACAGTGTCACCCTGACCACACCACAATGTGTTGTTCCAGGCCAGGCATCCTCCATGCCACTTGCCTCTGCAGCACACAGAGGAAACAGGGGGAAAAGAGAGAGAATGAGAAGGAGAGCAATAAACAGGAAGAGGAGGCAGGGGGAGGGCCGGCCTGGGGTTAGGGAGATGGGGGAAGGGTTGTCCATGTTCAGCAATGTTTTTGGCTTGAGGGAAGGGAGGGGGTGAAGCGCTGGGCTCTGTAGGTCCTGCATGTGTGCAACCACTCCAAAACAAATATGTGGCAAACACAATAAAAGAGAGCAAACTTTTGTCCCAACATAAATCCTTAAGACACACACACACACAAACACACACAAACACACACATAACCACGTCTAGTTTGATGGCAGTAGTTATTCTTAATCAGCACTTTTGTAGATCCAGTGGAAGACCCATATGCTACTGATTTATTGAGCCATAATCAAAACAAAACGTAGCATTATCTTTACTTTTCAGTTTACAACTGAGGCCCAGCTGTCTCCAGTCCACAATACACAAATCACTTTTAACTGAGCGCACAGCTCCTCATAAGGGGGCAACTAACTTACAAAACATTGTAAAGATAAAGAAAAGTCTCTCCTTCACCTTCAAATAAGTTCATGTGCAGTATTTTGTTTCTAAAGAAGCTTCTGTAACTAATTAAATGTTCCTATTGCATGAAGAATAATGAGGTGTAAAACTATTTACTGCTGCTACTGTATGTTGTAAAGGTGAGGAACTGAGAAGTGTTCATTGTATATTTATCATATGGTTATTAGGATAAGGGGTTGATGTTATTATAGTATATCCGCCTGGCTTTACTGCATTTTATTAGGTCAGCTCAGCTCGAGAGTCAAAATAATAGAAAAAAATTTGTTTGCATGCTGCCAATCACAGGTTACAATCTATTAAACACTTTAAAAACTGTCAGGAATATTTATAAGATCTATAAATCAGGATAGCCAGAGGTAACACTTGTTGAAGTGCACTAAAGGGAGATTCTGTCACTGCTCGGGGTATTATTGACCAGCTGCACTTGTTTACTGCCGTCAAACTAGAGGCCGAAGCAGTCTGTCTGGAGTTTGTACAGTCAGCAGGATGCACATTTCCTCCTCACCAGTTGAAGGTGTTCCCGGTGAAACTGGTCTCCTATCAGCTGGAGTTTCTGGCCAATAACGGCCTCCACGCTGCGGGCCACAGGCTGCTGCCGGGGAAGCTGCTCCATGCCGTTTGGCTCCCCTTCACTCTCCTGTCTCCTCGCTTCCTGATCCCCAACGAGCTCAAAGCGTGCCGGGAAGTGCAATCGAAAACCCGCGTTGCCTGTTGAGTGTCAAGGCTGAGACTTATTAGTTTGTCAACAACCATTTAGAAATATATAAGTGCAGCAATGACACATTAATTTGTTTTTCTGCCTTTATTTGGTCTATGACAATGATGCAACAGGTGCAAGTATTGCTGAACATGTCAGATTGCTCGGCTTTAACCACAACTGTGTGTTTTTAGTTATCAACACTGAATCATTGAAGTGTTTCATAAGTCACTCAAACACAACATGACACAGATTTGAGGTCAGTCAGTCACTATAGAGTTACTCTGGAATGATTTCTGTTATATGGCGCCAATGTAACTTTGCTGTCAGTGATAATCAGTTCCCTGTGCAGTTGCTGCGTACACAGGTAAGCACTTCTGTCACTTCCTGTCACATCACACTGCCTGTCTGGCGCCCTTTGAATAGCAAAGCAGCTGGGTACACTCCATTCAGACCATAAAAGCAACTGTGATCACGACTATCAGGCGCCAGGGGTGAGATTACTGCAGCAGCATTATGTGTTACCCACTCTTGACTGTAAGTCTCACATCGTAGTTTCGAGCTGCTTTTTTATAACACTGGTTATCACGCACACGACTATGTTCCCTTATCTCTTTTGAAATACAGTGTGTTGTCAGCCTCACCGTAGAAGAGTGGTCTGGGCTCTTCTGCAACGCCACAGGGCAGCATGCCGTTGTCGGGTGCCAGCGCAGGGCCAGGTGTCTGTGTGCCCCGCTCTTCACACTTTATCTCCCTGAATGTGGTGCGCCAGCAGTGGGGGTCCTGCTCAAACACATCATCATCCTCATCGTCCATACGGGGTCACTTGAAGATCAGCAGCCTAGAAAGTAACAAGACAAAGGAGAAAAGTTTACAGCTGAATGTAGAACAGCGAGTTCATAAATCATTCCCTTCACTAATGATGGTAACCTTGGACGAGTCTGCATTAGGCCTGATGAGATGATCTCAGACACATTCATTATCCCTCGCAAGCATTCATTATGATTATAGACAACCTGTCTGGTTTATAATGAGTGCCCTCAAATCAATAAAACCACACTGAACAAGTTGTGGGAGAGAAAAAAAGCACAAGATCCGCCTTCACTTGTGGCAAAGAGCTCAGTGCTTATTTAGACAAATGGCTCTGTTCTTCTCGTGATGAAACCACACAATTCACTGCGGTTAGGCGACTCGGTTGAGCCACATTTACATAAATGGGAGTTTGGCTGAGTGAGTTAAAGGAGAGGTAGAATCTTTAATGTGTGCTAAGCTGCCCTGTGGACAGTAGGGATGTGTATTGGCAAGGGAATATGGAATGCATTATGATACAGGGGTTAAAATACAATATATTACAATAACCAATAGCATAAGCACGGAAATAAGTTGGGATTTTTCTGACAGTGAAAATGAACACACCACTATAAGTAAAAAATCGAAGTTTAAAAAAGGTTTTGAATTTGCATTGATTTACACATACTTACAATGTCCAATATCATAGCTTTACTTTTTCTGCAATACGAGCCACTGTGTGCCACAATCTACTCATATCTCATTATATCAATACTCAAGTGTATGCATATTTAACACCTCTAGCTGACAGCAGCCTGGCTTCTTTAATAACAGTCTCATGATTACAACCAGGATTAGAGGTCGTTTATTATATTTCAAAGCAAACAATTGCAGGTAGCAGAGCTCAGTGCCTGTAATGATATCAGAAATGTACACAATGTGTAAACTTGATTATAGGAATACATAATACACATGATTGTAAATCCTTAAGGACAACTCTACCAGAGGGAAGAATCTCAAGGAGCACTTGGGAATCTCTCCAGTGTCAATGAAGCACTGAATTCAACCCTGAATCTTAATAGGAGGTCAGAGAGTTGTCAAAATATGGATGAAATTCAAGTTGCCTCAACAATTAACCCCCAAGTCACAATGGAGTTGTAATACAGGGTTAGACTACTACCACACTTCCAAATTAGGGTCCACAGCAAAAGGGTAATGACAGTCTGTAAGGAAAACCCGAAGCCACTCTCCCTACCCTGGTCTGTCAGCTCGCCAGCTCGTCTGAGAAGGAGTTCTCATTTCTGCACCCAACATAAGCAGATTGGCCAGTCTCTAGCATGCCCAGACCTCACGATATACTGTGTGCGATCACAATAAACCCTGTGTGTAAAACCACTTAATGCTTTGTTTTGACAAACATAGAGTAAGAACATGGGAGGCTCATATGGAAAAAAAGACTTAATCTGAATGTGCAGATCCCCAGGATAGCTCTCTGCAGCGCTCCACTGTCCAGGCAGTGAGCCGTGTTTGTGTCAGACAGTAGCTCCCCCTGCTGCAGACTGCACCACCCGAACAAAAGGGAAGGAGGGAGAGTGGGGGTGAGGCAGCTCTGTTGACACAGTTTCTACCCACTGGCTTCATAAACCTCACATCACACCATTTTCTATTATGTGTTACATTATGCACAACGACCTTAAATAACACGAGCTCATCAAGCGGTGTCGGAGTCTCGCGATACTTTTTAATCCCCCAAAAAATTATTGGTTATACACCAGATAACCATATCAATAAGAATTATAAACATGCATTAAATCAGATAGTAAAACAGAGTGGGATGATTTAAAATAAAGAGAGAGAATTGGAAAATAATTGTTTAGATTGGGCTACATAGCGTGCATTTACATTATGTAATAACACGTTTACACGCGTACATGGTTTTAATCTATGGCGAAAACGGCTGTCATTACATTTTAATACAGACTGAAACACGACAGAGAAACATTCGCCGCAAAAAACAGAGCTGCAGTCTGAAGTCCATTCACCGACAGAGCTCTGTAAACCGGGAAAGCCGGTAAAATTCAAATTGTTGTTGTTTGACAGACAGGCTTAGTTACACTTAAAACGGTCTCTAACCCGGCCGCGTTGACGTTTCGATACAATAATTACCTCAACGCTGTCGAAACAAGTGTTTGCAGCTGTTTGAACGACAACAGCGACACGTTGTTTGTTGCTTCTTCCAAGGACGCGGATGTTATTAAACGTTAAAACTCGTGCCGACAAGCTGCTTACAGTGCGTACCGAAGAAAGACACGTAAATGTGTTTTTGAGGAACTTACCACAAAGATGGGCTTCGTTGATAAGGTTGTCTATTACAGAGAAAAAGGGGCAACGAGTTCAATATCCTGGCAAGTCAATCGAGTTTAGTCCGTATCAGCTCCACGACTACTTCCATTCTGTGAGGGAAAATGCAGCGAGCCGATATCATTTCGCCGACGTCAGCTCCACACTGACTCCGCCGCCGGGGCGTGGCGCAGAAAGTTAGTAAATAAAACCTCCTTGAAACGCGAGTGTTTCTGTCCTCCCGACTGTATGCACCTCGGAGGAGGCGGAGCCAGCCCCTTTAAAGGTAATTTACATCCAGACCCTGTAACCAATCGTCTTGTTTGTTGTTGTCCCGCCTTCTCCAGCGCGTATTCAGACACGTGGATGGGAAATTCCCCGTAGCACGAGACCGCTTTCGCTACTACTGTGCGTGCTCATCTGTTCTGTTAAGATCTCACATGGCAAGGACATTAAAGAGAAACTATAAAGATCCACACATGTTTCTACAATGTGTTAATAGGTGATCTAATACCTTAATGTCGTCCATATTTATCTGCACCTTAGAGTTTAAAATGTATGTGTAAATCTGTAAACAATGCCGAATTAAAGAAAGCAGACAGCATTTATTCAGTGTACAGCATACAAATGAGAGATAAAGGATTATTTTGAGTGTGCTTGTATATATTTATACGGTTGTAAACAATAATCTATCTATCTATCTCTCTATCTGTCCATTTATCTATCCATCTGGCTGTTCCCGTTAATTTTACAAACTTGTTTTTCCCATATTACCACAACATGAACAAGTTAACATTTAACTTGAAATTTCACAATCAACACCATTTGTGCAATGTGATTTTGACCTAGATCCTTCTGGAAGTGGCCTAGATCTCGATCAGTATAATTAGGCACCTGTAGAGGACACAGAAGTGTGTGTTTGTTGTTTGTGTCAAAACACTATAAGTCATATCAGTCTTGACAACATGTTTTAGATCTTAAAACAGTCATTATGGCAGGCTTGATGTCCACCCATTACCCCGAATTACCCCAAATATTCCAACATTCATTATGTGATTCACAATCAGCTCATAGCTTATCAGTTAACCATGTCCACAGTGAGCTGATGCAGGTGCTGGTGACCTGCCCCCTCCCCTCACTGATCAATAAACCCTCTGACAGCTGGAGCTGACTCCCTGCATTCACAGAGCATCACCCTGCCCCCACCCACCCTTTCTTTCTCTCTGCCTCAGCTGTGATCATGTCCCATCGCTGCGCTGCGTGAGAAGTCACGGCTCCCTGACTCCTCTGTCCTGCCTGAATTGGAAAGATCTCTGGGTTCGGACTCTGTCCCACCTGCGGCCCCTCCAAAGAGGTGGGGATTGGTTTCCTTGCTCACTGTGATATTGGAAACATGATCACTTCTTGCATGGCTGACCACTGTAAACAACAAAAGACGTGAGAGCATTAGTTGCAGCTTCCTTTTGTGTTCAAGACAAATAAAAGACCCCTCTCTACTTAAGACGCTGTGAAGAAAACACCTGTAATTACTTAAGAGAAAGTCAGAATCCTTTTAAGGACAGGATGTCGCTATATAGACACAGTATAGCGACAGCAGGAAACAAACAAAGTCGCTGAGAGGCTGAGGCCGGGCCTGTTTGCTATTGTATGACACGCTACAAAAAGTACTTGCTGAGATCAAAACTCTGTTGAATAATAATGTAGTTTAATGAAAACTGCGATGATCAACTTATTTTCCTTAGACATAGACATTGTTATAATACTCAAAGCAATGCTTAAACTTGCGGTCAACAAAAAGTACAACGACCCTGTGTCACCCTCTCTTCCACACACACACACACCTCACGCAGGTGAACAGGATTATAATTCCCCTGAGTGCCGCACATGTGACCCAAAGCAACCAACCCATAGCGATCAAACAAATAGCTTATAATAATACAAACCAGTACCCAAATATAAAACTAGTACAAAACAAATGTGTATATTCAAAATGCATTACTATGTACGTTTCATGGCTCCTACACACAGCATGCAGGGTCTAGTGTCCCATGCAATATAAGTTGTGAAAAAAATTAAATCACGAGTCAGAAAATATGAATATGGTCATTTGTTAAGAGCGCTCTACTGGTCGATTACTGAAAAGTCCTGAAGTGAAATATTCATAACAAACCTAAGTATGTAGCATTGATGACAGTACATTTATCTTAAGAAAACAGACCTAAGTTATTCATTACATGCTGTGATGTATTAACATTTGAGAGTCTCTGCAGAACTCATGGAGGCCATAAGGCAGCTCTCAGTGGGACACATAAACAGGCCTCCATAACATTAATAATGAATATGGATGAATTCACTGCGGCTCTTACCATTATCCAGGAACATGAATTTTAAATTCAGCACATTGTTGACTTAACTAATTAAGACGTGTCCATCAGTATGTGGATAACTGCTTTGTGTTATTGACATGTATTGAAGTGCTCTCCCACAAGTTACATTTGTACATTTTATCCAGACACAACACTGAATAAAATGACGTTACATTAACAGAATAAAGTGCCAGACCAATATCTGTTAATGTCTTTTTCTCTGTTATTGACTTGTGTATGCAAGTGGAAAGAAAATGTTCATAAATTAGTTCTCGTAGACGCCTGAGAAGCCTGGGAGAGAGGAGATCGGCTTCAGTTTATATTACACCAGAAAGCTGTTTCTGAAGAGCAATGCATCCATGGACAGCCACACACACTAGCAGACTCATGCACAAACACACATGCACACAGGCGCGCACAAACACACATGGCTGCACAATCTCATGCCCTACTTCCTCTGTAACCTCAAAAGCCTAGTCTCTCTCTTGATATTTCATTCTCTATATGTGTGTGCACACGCATCTATCGCAAACACACACACTGCCAGTCTCCCACCCACCAAAACATTATCAGCATGTGAAGCCTGCCTGGAAACTCGAAGGGAGGGATTTCATTTGCTCCAACTGGACATGTTCCATGGCAACCGCATCCTGACTGCTAGCCAGTTGGATGAGGCGGCACACTGACCCAATGGCAGAGATCATTCTGGGGCAGTGACCTGATAACAAAAGGGGGCTGGCTTCTCAACCCTCTCTGGCACTCCTCAAGTGAACTTCATTTAAAGAAAGCTCGAAGATATCACTGTTATTCGGGTAGTATTTTCTTGATTTCCCCCCGGAAAACTGGACAACATGATCAGGCTCAGCAAAATGTGAACCAAAGAATCTTACAGTATCTGAAGCTGTGACGTTAGTATGCACACACAGATAAACATGCATCAAAGTAGACATCTGTGGAAACCTCCCGTGGGAATAGCCCTAGGTTTGTTATCATACTCAAAGTCATCTGTTGTTTTTTTTAAAGGCAAATGACCTGTAGAAATGTATGCAATAAATGTATTTTGCCTTCTGTCTCTCTGTATACGTGTACCAAATGAGGAAAAACACTCCCTTTACATGCATTTAAAATATGCTACTACTACTAAGTGTCAGAAAACAAAACCCTCTCTCTTTTCCCCCGTACCCAAATCTCTAAAAACGGGGGTACAACGGAGCTGATCCAGATTTGCTGCCGATATGACGTAATATCGGAAATGTGGGCTGGCTTTACACCCACAGCCCTATCAGAAACAATGCGCGACGTGTTTTGGAAGTAATATGGTCTTTTTCTTTTTAAAGCTACGGACCCAGAATCAGCACTTCTCTAACAGGGCTGAAATAGAGGGATATGAGGCATGGCTAGAATGGGTGATCTGTTTGGTATTTTGAGCAAAACACTTCATAGACATGTTTTTTATATATTTCTATATATCTGAGACCTATACTATATGCCTAAAAATAGCATAATAGGAGAACTTTAAGGTAAAATAACAGTCAGAAATAAAAAATAACAGGAAGAGAATTGTGTGGTTATTTTTCTGTCGGCCTTCCAACCTCAACAGATCCTCTCAGGTGAACACTGAGTGAATAATGCATCAAAAGTAGTGAGGTGGCGTAGGGTAATTTTGTGCTCGAATCCAGCCTCTTCTAGAAATTGTGAGGGTGAGGCGAGTTATGAGAGCAATGACACCGGATCCGCTCGCCGTAACTGAGAGCGCTGACTCAAACGGCCACCTTTGTGAGGGCTGTCTGGTAATCATACGACCCCGTCTGGCTGTAGACTACCGGCCCAACCTCACACTCTCAATGTGACTCAACAACAAAGCCTTTTGTTGTTGTGGGGGATCATCTCACACTTAAAAAAAACTAATTCTAAAGAGAGGAAAAGACCCAAGATCCAAATGTGTTTAATGTCAAAGCGCAGTGTATTTTTGGATCCCTCTGTGAATGAGATCATCAAAATCAGAAAAACTTACAGTAAGGAACATCCCACTTCCCGTTTTCAGTAGTCTAGATGATGACTGAGGACAACGTCACTGTCATATTTCCTGTTGAACGGTATTTCACAAAAAAAACGTAAGTACTGTAGTCACATACATTTTACAAATACTGAAAATAGTCCTTAACTAATGTGCTATTAACTGCTGTTTAAGTGATGTTTTATTAAATCCTACACTCCCTAGCTGTTTATTAAGAGTCAAATAAAGATTACGATCACCTTTACTAATTACCAGTAAATTCACTTTTTCACTCTGGTGTTATTTTACAATTACACAAATCAGCCCAAAATACACACACATATGCACAGTTTAAAAAAATATATATATACATTTCATTTTTTAAGAATTACTTAAGTGAATGGATATCAGTAGTAGTACTGATCCTGTTTCAATCACATTAGTATGCATAAAAGGTGACAGGTCACATCCCCCACTAATTATGCTAATGACCCCTTTGATATGCTAATGACCCCTTTGTTCGAGGTGTTATCGCGTGTAGGTGTGATATGACAGTTAGGTGTGATATCCTTTGATGTGAGGGGTGAGGTGTTATCACGTGCAGGTGTGATATTCCCCCCTGTAGTAGATCCTTTGTTGTCTAATCTAATTAGCCTTTGATGTCTGCCCTTTGTTGTCTATTCTAATTACCCTTTGATGTCTGTCCTTTGATGTGAGGGTTGAGGTGTTATCACGTGTAGGTGTGATATTCCCCCCTGTAGTAGACTACTTTGTTGTCTAATCTAATTACCCTTTGATGTCTGTCCTTTGATGTAAGGAGGGTGAGGTGT